TAAAATCAATTAAAATAATACATTATTTTTAATTTAAAAGATAAATTTAAATTAACTTAAATTAATTAATTAAATTTAATTAATTAATAAATTATTAATTAATTAATTTAATTTAATTAATTTAAATTAAATTAATTTAAATTTTCCTTTATCATTTATATATTACTTATTCTGAACCTTCTCTGCAAATTTGGCAGGTTATTGCAAAATAACCCTTTATATATCTTATAAATTCTCAATATTCCGATCGATTACATTTACAGTTTTGTTGAGAACAGACGCGTAGTAGCCGCAGTATATAGAAGGAAAGCAATTAACCTTTTGACTTGACCAGCCGTTTGACTTCACGATCATACCGTCGCCCGCCATTCCAAACTGGCTAACGATCCAGCGCAAGTTTTATTTATACGTATTTAACCAAGCTCTTTGCAAAGATTCATTCTGTGACGATTTGTCGTTGCTGGATTCAATTCCCACCAGCATTAATAATTGTTACAAAAACTGATATTCCCTATTGGGAATACAATAGGGAATATCAGTTTTTGTAACAATTTTTTATAAAACTGAAGTGATAAACGAACTTGCATCCACCTGATGGTAATCGGCTACGGCTAAGATGGACAACAGCAAACAAGTTTAAATAAATAAAGCCTCGGATGCGTTATTACCTTTGAGTATGTGATGGAATGCTTCACAGCCTATAGTTATACTGGCTCTCTTTACCCTGCAGAACAGTATCTCTATAGTAGTTGCAGCACAGCTATTTAGCGACAGCATTAGTAGGAAGAAATAGACAAACGAATTACCTGACTTCCACAACTTGATCACAAAACACTTGTATTTCTTTACTATCCTTGCAAAAAAATAAGCATGTGTAATACACGAAAACCTATAGGATACGATAGGGTGACAAACGAGCACCCAGTCCACCTGATGGTAAGTGGTTACTGTGACCCATAGACATCTACATATATCCTCAATAAAGACTCAAAATATAGATGCGTTGTCACCGGTGAGGACTAAGATGGAATGCCTCTTGTCCAGTAAAATGGGTTGCCGGTTCTCTACACTCACCATACGAAACACAGCAGCGTTAAGCTGCTATTTGACGCTGGTGTTCTGTGAGAGTGTGGTCCTTCCCCGGTCGAGTCGACCCATTCGTGCTACAATTACGAGTATACTACTAATATAGCTGCAGCATGGCTCTACCACGTGGATGGAAAATTTCTTTAATTTATGGTGAAAAGCGTAACAATTATTAAGTAGTTTTAAGTTTAAAGCGAAAGCACAAACAGACGTCGATAAATGACTTTGTTCACACTAGTCTATATTGCTATTTTAAATAAAAAACTGTAGCTAAACTAAGTCAGTTGCGCAAATATGAGTCTTGATGAGATGACTAAATATTTGTGCCATTTGCTGTAGAAACTATCAGTCCGTGGGATCCACGTGCGGTGAAATCCCTAATGAACTGTATCCACGACTGGTCGTCGCTACTGGTGATAAAGGGCTGGGTCCTATCTAGCGCAAAGGCAAAGTATAGCAATTCAGCGAGTAAACGCAGCCAGCGTTCTTAGTACGATACCGCGCTGCGGGGTACAGGTCTGACTCATAGTGAAATGACAATTTGAGTTTAAAGTTTATACACACAGTGTTTTATTATAGTTTTTTTTTTAATATTGTATATATTTCAATAAAAATACGTATTTTACTATTTTTAAATAAAATACAGGAAAATAAAATAAAATGTGTCCATCTAATATAATTATATTTTTAACACTTATAATTTAAAATTTTGTGCAGCCGACTTCAAAATAAGTTATTAAGGATAACTCAATAAGTATTGGTCTGACCTTGATCTAATTCATATGGGACCACACGAGAAGTATCAGCTTTCAAATAAAAAAAAGAGTTATCGAAATCGGTTCACCCAGTAAAAAGTTATGAGGTAACACACATAAAAAACATACAGTCGAATTGAGTACCGTCTCCTTTTTGGAAGTCGTCAGAAAATACAAACGAGCCTTTGGCAATATTGAGAGTGCCAGTATCGCAAAATTTATGATTTAATTTTCTTAATTAATACATTATATAAAACGAGTATTTTGTTTCCATATAGCTCGCAGCTAATTTAAATAGTGGTGTAGTATCTGGAACCAATTTAAAATAATTATACTCGTACCAAATTTAAATAAAGAAGTAGTGTAGTTGTACCACTTCTAGACCACCTGAGTCAGACGTGGTTCAACGACGTTCGTCGACGCCCGATCCTAAAAAAAAAAAAAAAAAAAAAAGGTTTTGGCATGCTCTGATCACGAATCCGCGGTCCATTTTTCTGTAGAATGCACGGTTCCGGAGATGTGTAGATCAATTAGCTAATATCTAATTGATATCCGGTAAGGGCCTCCACCGTCATTAGCGTCCCATTGTTGTTCCTATTTCTATTGTTCTATTGTTCCTTAATCACCTTCATTGCAGCGTGTGCGTCGACTATATCAGTGCTATTGTTTATTATAATTCTTTGTTTATACAACGCTAATCTGAATCATCAATAAAACACATTACATAATTTTGTTACAATTTTTATTTATAAAATACAAAATCTTATTAATTATTATCTATAAAATAGGAGCGAAACATCTCATCCACTAAAATATCGTTGTACAATGTGTTCCTTGTAAATATACTCGTAAAACTATGTATTGAACATCCTTGAAACTTATATAGCAAATACATTAAGCAATATTCGCCACAAACTGAAGTCCACTCATTCTGAATCCTATCAACATTCCAGTTCCATCTTTTACAATTCCTTTTTAAAAACTCTAGATGATATCGTACAGGTGATCGTCCATATGAATCAAAATATTGACCGACGTCATTCGTATCGATATATAAAGCTACCCAATGTGACCCTGGTTTATCATCTGTATCCAAATTACATATTATATACGTTGGTACGTGGGTATACATAGGCAGTCTATTAGCTGCATAAACATTATTTTCTAGACTGGGGTGAATCTTTTTCAGATGTTGTTGTACATCTAGTGTATCCATGATATTACTGCTATTAGTAGATTATTACAGTACCTAGCTACTCAATGAATAACATAGGAATGGTCAATTATAGTGATTTCTACATATTAAATTGCATTTTTGTGATATACAAATCGTACTTGAGTCATTGATCACCAAACAAAACACAATACGAAGAAATGTTGAGATAGGCAACGGAAATGTGAGATAAACTGATATGTTTCTAAATATTAAATTGCATTTTTGTGTTATACAAATCGTACTTGAGTCATTGATCACCAAACAAAACACAATACGAAGAAATGTTGAGATAGGCAACGGAAATGTGAGATAAACTGGTTGACGCATAAAGTAATTATCAACTCATTACGGAAATACTTTAGATTAGAATTTTTAAGTACTGGTGGTATATAAGACCAACAAATGCAGTCATCGAGTTAGTGTACGGTCGTTTGGCTACAGTGGATCTATCAATAGTACATTTGTGTTACTTCAATACACCAAAGGCTATGGATGTAAGTGTTTATTCTATTGACTAAATTACTTTTTTTCTGTTATTTTCTATGATTAAGCCGTGGTAACTCAGATGGTTAGCGCTAGCTGTAAATTTCACAGTACGCGACCCGGGTTCGATCCCCGCCAGCACCAATTAAATTGTTAATAGCAATTTTAAGTGCTTATTACCACGTGCTTGGTGGTGAAGGAAAACATCGTGAGGAAATCTGCATGTCTGAGAAAATTTCGAAGGCATGTGAAGTTCGCCAACACACATTGAGGGAGCGCGGCGGACATTTCCTTGCTCTAAAACCCTCTCAGAAATGAGAGGAGGCCTATGTTCAGCAGTGGACTTTAATAGGCTGTAACTTTAACTTTTATGATTAAGTGTTAACAAATTGATATTAACATGATAACTGTGTTGTTGCAGAAATCATTGAGCTTCGATGAAGATACCTATAAACAGTATTACTACTCACCACTCTCCCCTCAAGAAGAGAGTGATAACCTCGTCATTAATAATAACACATGCGATGGTGGAAAAAGAAAATCGCAATCGATTGATCATTTTTTTGAAGCTGAATCAAAAATAAAAAAGAGGAAGCTGTTATCATCAACCGTAGCACGAGCCGCTAGAGATGGTGTATCATACATTTCTACTAATTCTGACGACGGAGACCAAGCGACGCATCTCATCAAAATTGAAATGTACGATATGAAGAAGCTATCCAAGATTCCAACTACTGATCATTGGAAACATGCTTCCACGAGAATTAAATATTACGTAAAGACTAATAAGGATAGCATCTACGACAATACAAACGCCCTCGTATACAATATAACAAAGACAATAGCAGAAAGTGAAAAAGTTAAAAAATACTTTTTTAACAATGACAGTCATTAGCTGATCATTAGTGAATGTGATTCTGTTTACTTCAATTACAGGAAGACAAGAGCGGAAGGAAGAGATGAGTGTGGCATACGTGTACAAAACACATCATTGAATAACAAAACTACAACACTGAGTGGAGAAGAAAACGAGAAGAGTATGCAGTACTCAAGAGCTGAATATCCATTCTTCAGTTCAAAATCTAGCCGTTTGCTTAGTTTCGAAAACTGGCCTCTAGTTATGCGACAGAAACCTGAAGATCTTGCCGAAGCTGGTTTCTTTTATACTGGCCATGCAGACGGGACCAAGTGTTTCCATTGTGGTGGTGGTTTAAAAGATTGGGAAGATGATGATGATCCTTGGCAGCAGCATGTTCAGTGGTTTAGTCAGTGTGCTTATGTAAAATTTCAACTCGAACAGTGTTTTGTATTAGATTAAATAGAAGATTTATAAAGAAATAAAAAAAATATATTGCATACAATTTGTTTTATTTAATTTTATAACGTTTCACATAGTTACATACACACAAAATGCATTACACATAACACATAAAATCTAACACACAACACATATTATAACCTTAACTACTATAGTCTACAGTAACATTTCTGTTTTTATCTATCTCAATAATATTATCAAACTCAGCATAAACTATACAGTTAATTGTTTGTATTAATGAGGATTCAAATCGTACTTCTATTCTTACACTACCATGCTTTATGAGATTCCAATGAGTTGATGAGTTAGCTGATAAATCAGGAGTTAAGTCAAATGCTAATAGACAGTAACCTTTGCCATACTGTTCACAAGAGATTCCATTTCCTTCATTAAGAAAGTGAATACCAGTTCCCGAGAATAGAGTATGATATGCTGATGTAAATATGCTATTATTAAAAGATGGTTGCAAAGCTTTTGAAGGTTTTTGTTGACCATCAATATATAAGCTGAAAGAATTAATACCATAGTTTTCAAAGTTAAATGGATTTTTAGTAAGGGAACCATTAAATGCAGAATTGTTCACAAATCCAATTATACATCTTTTCGGTACCTGTCCTAAAAATATATTATCAAGAGTTTTTCCTTGAACACCTGAAGGAATTGTTAAAACTTTTACTTCAGCTCGAGTAATAGGATATTTAGCAGTGGTAGAAGCTAAAACTTTTTGATGTGCGAGTAATACACTTGGATTAATTCGTGCTCGTCGCACAATAAGAGTTGCGTCCGTAATGCAAACTTTAAACTTTACATCGTTCGACCCAACAATTAAATTAAAACTCTCTCTTGATCGAACCAATTTAACACTCATTTCAACACCATTAATTAAAAATTTATCTTGGTTAAAAATGTCACCGTGAAGATGACCAATCATTTCTATTTCCTTACTTTCACTAATCAATTCCTGTCTTTTAACAAATCCTATGTTTTTACCATCTGTAGAATCCATTTTTCCTGCTGTATCCTCATACCAAAGACTACAAGTAAGATGAGATTGTTTAGCAGCAGAGGCATAGTTTAAAAGGGTTTCCATGTATGCTCGATATGCATAGGTATTATTAGGTGGTGATACAAGTTTTTGGTTTAAATAAACATCAAGTTGACTAAAAAGTGAATGCAGCCAATTATTTACAGGTGCTACTATTGTAGTAGATACCAAGTTAGTTGAATCTTGATTTAATACTTTTGCCTTTATGTGGAGTAATGTATGAGACAAATCTATGTAGTCATCGCCGGTCCCAGGAACTTGAAACTCGATAGGTCCATCATCACCAAGAGATGAAATTGGTTTATAATGAATCCACAATCCATTTTCAATGCTAGTTTGTGTAGACGGTAGTGCAAACAAATCCAATTCTGACTTAATGCACTCGCAAGAATGATTATGAAGGAAAGACATATTTAGTTTGAAAATATATCTTTGATATTTTTTGGTTTTAGACTAAGTTTTTTCACAGCTTTCACTTTAGCAGTTAATGGTGGAATGAACGATGTCAATCGTTTTCTTTTAGTTTTATACCCAGATCCAGTCATGTTAAATTGATCAATTTTCTCATCAGCCTTTCGTTTTAAATTCGTACTAACTTGCTTTCGACGATCTTTTATTGAGGCTTCCATAGGACGGGCTTGAACCATATCCGATAAAAGTCCTACTCCAGCGCTTAATGCCTCCTTACCAATCACTCGAGCACCACTTGAAAGTAAAGGTAAAACTGATCTGAATAACCCCCCTAAGAAGCTCCCAATACCATGACCGCGTTGATATGGTGAACCCTTATAAATTACTCCAACTCCTGATCCAGCTTGATGTGTATAATAATTTTCATATGGACATTTATGATGATCACGAAGTGAATTCATTATTATAATTTTCGGAAATGTAGTTTAATACACACGGTTCCAAACTGGAATGGTATTTTTTGTCCTGTACTCGATCTTATAACTATTTCCAACGTATCGAACTCTCTTCGCATAACAGGTAAGTAGTGAGGTTGAGAGAAAACGTGCATTTTATTTGCACCATAAATGTATTTTGTAGGATCTAATGAAATGACTCTTAATAAAGGAGTCATAACATCACCCACAATCTGAGGATCGATAATATCGCAATATAGAAATAGTTGAGATGGTAACCCTAAGTGTAAATTAGCAGGACACTTTCCAAAATTTCTCTCTAGGAGATTTTTATTTGGTTCATAACCTAGCTGTAAACTTAATTTGGGTGATAATGTTACGGATGTTATATTTTTATCCAATACCGAAATAGACACAAATTTTGTTATTTCATCATAGCGAAATTTCAAGTTCTCTCCGATACCATTTAACACTCTTAAAATATGCTCAACGTTATCATAGTTGGTAGCTGGAATATGTTTTTTGTAGTACACTGTGGATGGCTTATCTTCATTAGGCATTAACATAGATTTTGTAATGTATATAACATTTTCATGGTCTTGAACAGTAAACATGGTACATGGATATTGAAACTCGACAACTCCAACCGACCATTCACCTTCTAATTTTATAGCTTTTGGTAATTTCGTTGAAAAATTTGTGGTCTTGTTATCAGGAAAGTATTCCATTGAACTATTGCTGAGCAAAGTTAAATAGAAACTTTCTTTATTCATATTTCTTTTAAACTAGAAGCTAAAATCCAACTGTTAAATTTATCTGGATAACCTTTCCACTTCACTAATACTTCTTTTCTGTTACCTGAATAACGAGTGTCAATTATTTTATCTATTTTATGTTGTGAGGTGGGGTTGTAAGTGATTTTCTGTAATTCTCTTTCATAAAAAGTACCAATTATTGGTTCATTTTGTAAATCTGTTATTGTATAAACAACCAATGGAGATCTATCAATTATTGAAGATATAATAAATATTTCATCACTCCAATTTGATTCATATCCTTTTTGGAATACATGTTTATATTTAGTTATTCGAACATAATCACCCACATTGAAATTTGGTTTAGGATTTTCTAAAGAAAGTTTTTTTGACCGTCTATCATAAAGATTAGTCCAAACTGTCATAATATTGTTGGAATTTACATCACATGGGCACATCTTAATACTAGAGTGAAAGCTGTGATTATAAGAGTATATTAAATCTTGTAAAACATCTATATATCTATAAGTATTATTATGAGTGAAATAACGCCACATTTTCATTTTTAGTGTTCTTTGAAATCGTTCAACAATACTGGCCTTAATGTCAGGATTGTTAGTGGTATAGTAATTAATCTTTTTGGATTTAAAGTATTTTTGTACATCTTTTGAAACAAATTCGGTACCTTTATCGGATTGTATGTGAGTAGGTGTTAAATTACTTTCAGTAAATATACTTTCAAAACATTCTTTAGTTGTTTCTGAGTTTTTCTTTTTCATTGGTCTTGCAAAAGCATATTTACTAAATACATCAATAATACAAAGTATATACTTGAAACCATCATTATATTGAGAATAAGTTCGCATATCACTTAAATCAGCTTGCCACAGTTCATTAATATTTGATAGAATGTACCTATTACGCGGGAATTTTTTTCGAATGGGTTTATGTAATGTGTATGTTTCTTGTGATTTTAACCATTCCTTTACTTGCTTTTTATTCATTTTACCCTTCATGGCTTTTGATAATTTATCAATACTACCAAAACCAGCGGGATTAGATGGATCATAATAAATCCTGTTAATTTCTTCTAGTACGGAGTCCATTTTTCCCACTCAAGTCCTTTACGTATTTTAGTTGTAGACTTTTTATCTCTACTGCACGGTGTAGAAAACTCTTGAACTTCAATCTCAGAGGGTTTGTTCAGATCTTTTGCTTGAAGTTGGTTAATAAACTCACATCTCCTTGGATTTCCAATATAAGTAAGTGGTACTTTAATATCTTTTAATGCTTCAGCAAATCTAACCCACCCTACCGGATCACTTCTTTTTAGGGGTCTTAGTGAATCATTTATTAAATCAACAATATTACTTCCAGGAATTTTTTCACTATCAATTATGACTGTACCTTCGTTATCCCAATGTATTTTACTTTTACTTGTTTCAACTAAGTTTAATAATAACTGCCCTTTTTTATGATAAGTTTTTGGTATTAAACTGAGTATTTGAGTTGGTGTGTAAAGTGGATTTTCATCATTTTCTTTACTTTTAATGGATCGATTCTCCTCCAGCAAAGATTCAATATCAACTGAAGTTTTTAGATCTCTATCTTTATTTTTAAAACCAATTTTTGACTCATTTGAATCTTCATTAGATGTATCAGAATAAATTGGTAATTTGAGTGGTTGACGATCCTCTTCGGTAAAATGAAGGTATCTTTGCAGTGTTTGTAAATATAATATCCATTTCTTTCGGTCTTCCGTCTTACTATTCATAATATTTTGCATTTCAATATCTAATCGAGATAAATTACTATTAACCTTATTTTCTTGTTTTAATTTTTCAATCAATCCAGGTTCGATAAGTATCATTTTCTTTGCATTTTCCATGTTAACTGGCTAGTCCACTCACTAATCCACTCAATATTGCACCTAATATTGTTGGTAAGAAAGCCCCTCCTTTTTGTATAATTATATTTTTTCTTAGTTTATGTTTACACTTACGTACTAGTTTACGGAGTATGTTTTTATGTTTATTCAATTTTTGTTTATCCTGATCTTTAAGAGGTACTTTTCCTTGTAAAACGTTATGAATACACTCACAAATACAGTTAATTTCTTCTTCAACACACGTTTTAAGTAATGCTCTTTGATATTTTGGTTTAAGCGTATGCAAAGCGGTTAGCAAATGTTTATACGTTGTGAGTCGACGATGCATCATTTAGCAATGATTTCAATTGTTTGATTCTTGGTGTATTTAAACTCTTTTGTGGGGACGTAGACTGTACAGAAACCATTAAATGGAAAGACATTTGTCTTGATACGACAAAAATCATTGGTATTCTGTTTTAAATCTACCATTAAATATCCATGTGCCTCTAGAGTTGCATCCCTGTAGGCATTTTCAATGAATTTTGGGTTATCTGGTGATACTTGTCTTGCTAAATATCTTATTTGAGTTTTATCTCGAGGGTTTTTAAAATATATTATATAACTTGAGTTTAAAGATATGTCTCTTTGTCCTTTACCCTGATGAAATAAATTTTGTGTTAGATAAAATACACTAAGATTCCTGTGATGACTACCTTTTGTAAATATATCCACAATTCTTCCATCGGACTCTCTCATTAGATCATCAATAATAACAAGATGTGGGTTTTCACCATCAAACATATTAAGATTTGGAATTCCTTGATGATAGTTAACATTTGGTAAATTATATAATGGTTGCATTTCATCAAAGCACCATGTGATCTGATTAAAATCACAATTACATATTTCTGTAACTGATTTTATGAAATTTGTTACAAAATTTGACTTCCCACACCCACTTGGTCCTGCCACAATAGCAGTGAACGGATGGATAAAGTGAAACATAACACACGTCTAAAGTTCAAAGGGGTGAAATAAAAAATGAAAGTGTTGGTGTAAACAATTAATATATATTCCAAAAATTATATAAAACAGAATTATCTGTATACTATTTCTAACACAATTAGTACATCATAATTTTACAATTAACTCAACCTCAAATAAATAGAAACAACAATTAGTACATCATAATTTTACAATTAACTCAACCTCAAATAAATAGAAACAACAATTAACTTAAATTATTTACAATAAAACAATGTTTAAATATGTAATAAACTACGTCATATTATAGTATTATCATAATTTTACAATCAATATAAATTTTTCTTAAACGCAGACATAAAAGTAAAAACTATCAACACTTAACGCAGTTTATAATGACCCCAAGCTAATGTTTCAATATTATTATCTAAAATATGTCTCTTTGTGTCATTATATGATAAACCTATCTTATTTAATTTTTGTGTGAAAATTGTGTGTTTAATTGATTTAAATCTAAGCATACTATAATATTGCACTTTTTTATTAAATAGAGAAGACTTATAACTATTCATTGTCATCTTTTTAGTGATACATTTATTTACCCCTTTTGCCTTGGCTATAGTCTTATTCTCTAAGTTAAAAGCGTACATTTTGGATCGTAAACCCACAAACTCTTTCATGATTTTACCATTATTTTCATCTTTAAAAAAACCTAATTTCTTTTTATTTAATTTTGGATATTCAAAAATATTATTTGTATCATAATCTGAGGTATCAAAGTATGATGAAAGGTCAGGTTTTATATCAGTGTAAAAATCATTTGTAAATATATGATATATTAAACTATCCGTATCTGTATACAATAATTTGATTTTACTAAACTTTTTAATCATATAGTTATAATGAAAATCATACATTAATGTTTTTGAAATATCT